AAACTGGAACTGGTTTATTCTATGAGTAATAGAGATTTGAATGGTATCTATTAAATGCAAAGAAAACATGGCTTAGAATATCACTATATGGTGCAGTGCCATCCCTATGCCTATAATATGCTGCATCATTACTAAAAATGCTTGAAAAATCTTTAGTGAAACAAGAGAATGATATGCTCTATTATATAAATATGTTGCTTCTAGAAGTTTGCTGCTTTGGTTTTTTCCTTAATCATTTAATAGCAGATAATGGTTATCTGCAATTAAAAGTCGATGACTTTTGCTCAAAGGGTAAGTACTGTGCTGCTTTAACTGGTTCTTCGCAGACAATTTTACCCACAGCACATACTGCTTGTAGCTGTATTCATATCTTTTTCTCTTAAAACTGTACTTAAATAAGTAGACTAATTAATTTAGAATTTATTATATTTTAAAAATACAATATTTTATCCACGCAGATTAATACAAGAACCTCTATGATATATAAGCAGAAAGATATGCGGACAGGTTTACATTGCATATAAACATACATGCTATATGTAAATGAAACATTCTCTTTTATGATTAAATTAAAAAGTGATATAATTTCAGATTTATAATGCAAATATTGTTTACATTTAAAGCATTCAGTATTTTGCTTATGATATTTTTTTAGGGTTAATTTTTAAAATGTAGCTTTAAAACAAAAACTTTTATGGAATTATAGCGGGTGAGCAGCTGTTTCCACATTGTTAGGGCGCAGAAGTTAGAGTTCTGATTGACACATTAATCAGAAAGAATTAAGACTATGAAATCCATTTCATTTAATCTCATTATTGAATAAACAGCTCTGTAGTGATGCCTATTTGTAGTGGTTTCTCTAATAAAAATGCAACTGTAGCTCTCAACACAAATTAGTTTTAATTATTTAAATGACATTAATTTGTCAAACATAAATAATCTAACACCTGTTTTGCTTTTTCATTTTATGAAAAAAGTGTTTCATGAAAACTAATAGAGGATGATAATGGGGAATAACAAAGGTAGGTCTATGTGTTTATTACAACTCTATTATTTCAAAAAAATGCAAGGATGAGTTGATTACAATGTAACAGGATGAAGAAGCAGTCCATTGCATTGCTATGCAAGGACACAACAGAAAACAGCAAAATCAGAAAGATGTCTCACATACATTGGGTCAATGCAACTCACTTGTCCTATGCTCATCTTTGAGAACTGGTGACAGTGATTTACAGTACAGCAATTAATCTTCTGAATACAGTCATAACTACAAAGCAATGAGTGGTGTAGTTTTCGAGATGTTCAATCCAGACACCAAATCCATGCCATCAGGCTGCCATGACAGTCACCAATATATGTGAAACAAAACTTCTCAGGCAAAGGAAAAGACAAATCTGAGTTTCCCTGCTTTGTTTCAGTAACTTCGTTTCAGGAGATCTGCCTGACTATATGTGAAAAGTACCCTAAGTGTCAGAAGGGTATATTGTGGTATAAAACAATTGGTAGCTAACTGTGAAAATGGAGATCTGTTTGTTTTCTCCACAGAATAATATAATCATATTTGTTGTTTCTGTTTCATGCTACATTTTGTTTTAAAAGATTTGCCATTTAAAATTCTGGATATCTTAACACACTGCCCTGATTTCATTTATAATTTGGTTGAGGAGGGAAATTAAGCATGTAATCCAGTTGTGGTTGTTGTTGGTGGCCTCATATGACACTTCAGCAGTGATAATTTGTATGAATTTCTGTATATTAAACCATACTTTAATATTGATTCTGTTTGTGGTGTATTAACTGTTATCCTTTCTTGGTAAAGGAAATGTGCTAAGCAGATAGTTACTGTTGTAAATCAACAAGGCAATTTCAGAGCCACACAAAGCTGTTGAAACCTACCACTCAGTAGTTTGTCTGCCAGATTAATCATCTTTATTGTCCCTTCTGGAGGTGTCTCTCTTCCTTCGTGCAAAATATTTCCAGCAGGCAGGCTTATCATGAGAACTTATGACACTCCAAGGATATAATTATGTGACCATCACAGTTAATAATCTGCCCTGCATATCAATAACAAAGCCCAGGGTTTCAGAGCTGTCTTTTTTAAAAAAATGCAAATTACAGAAAACATTTTCTGAAGCATTTTATTATATTTCAAAGTGTATTTTCTCTGAAAATGCTCTTGTGATTATTTTGTATTAGCTGTACTCCCTTCTCAGTGCAGTTAATTTAAAACACTTATAATCAGATTTTTGCATATAATCCTCTTTTTAGACCTTTTTGTTTGCAACATACAATTAAATAATCAGTAAATATACTACAGGAAAGGTATGGTGGGACTACTGAATTAGTTTTGATGTCATTGGAATTCAACTAAAAGTCAGTAGTTAGACTAAAATAATGTTTCTAGTGTTGCAAAGAACTACAGATGCAACTACTTGAGAAAAATCTGGATTTGATTTAGTTGTTGTTTTTATAGTAGTTTTAATAAATTTATAATTTGAAACTTTATAAACTGCAATGTCATTTAAATGAAAGAAAAAACATATGCAAGAAAACAGGATGTTTTCAAAACTCTCACTGTAAATTGGAGGACACTTTCCTGTTGTAGTATTTTTTTAAGTTGAAGAACGGACTGGTAATGACTTTAAACCTCCAGAACTGTTTCATCGTTGAACTGACCACAGCTTTGCGAAGAAAAAATCTTTTTAGGAAAAATTTCTTTTGTGCTTTTGTGTTAGACTGGATCTTTGGTCTTCATTTTTAATGGGCTGCTCTAAAAACATAGAACTATTGTACAACATAGTTAGCTAGCTAGCTTGTAATCTAGATACATAAATTACTGTAAGTAAAATGATAATATTATCTTTGCTGATGTTTCATTCACTGCTGCATTCAATGCTGCAATGTGTCTCAAGAAGCCTTCATGTTACTAAAAATACTATGATGACAATTAAGCAAGTATATCAGGATAATCAGGTTTAATATTAGTATCTTTGAAACAATATCAAGTTGTATGTCTGTTTTTAACTATATTTTCCTAAATAAGTGGAGTTTTTTGTAACTTAAACTG